ACTCGCCCCAATGGTATTCAAAACCTCCATGCTATTCTGGCAGGGACAATGTTTAAGGGAAAGTTGATAGGTTTCATGTGTTGTACAACCTCCATTGGTAACGTCAGAGAAACTGGCTTAAATTTCTCAAAGAAAGCTGAGTGTGTTGGAAAAGCCGGTAAATACCATACAATCAGCACAGGTGAGTTTATTGATACATTCTATGACAGAAAAGGTTTCCAAATTCAAAAACTTTGGACCAGGCTGACTGTATGATCTAGATGAACTGTTTCTGTAAAGTGCCTTGAGATGATATGTGTTGTAATTGGAGCTACATGTATATAAATAAGCTGAATTGAATTTATTCAGCTGACATAACTGAACAACAAAAGCTGTGCTCAAATGTGAATACTGAATAACTTGGTATTCCTTTGCTTGGCTTTTTTACCTGTTACAAATTTAAATTAATACTTTAATGTCTCTCTAACCAAGGTCCAACCAAGGCGTGGGCAGTATCAGTCCCTATAAACAAAAAAGTATTAGTTTCAAGTCCTTTAAATCTGTCTGTCTAAAGAATAAACTCTCTTTTTCAGAAAGCATATTCTAAACTCTTTTGAAGGGATGATGTATATATGTTATCAAAACATATAATAATATTTATTCAAAGGATCAATCTTAAAATTTAGATTTTAATCTGAATGACTACATGAATGAAAAGATGAAGGGAAAATGCAATAAAAGGATTTTCTACTCATAAAGATCTAAATGAACATGTATTTTATCTTCTTAAAAGTGTTTCTCAAAGGGCTGGAGATTAAACATTCATATTCTTTAAGTGAATTAATGATCTAACTTCATCAAATGGTCTCTCTCTCTTTCCCTGGAAAAGCAAACTCACACTTTAAACACAACAAGAGCAGAAATAAAGACAAATCCCAACCCCAGGCCTAGCTCATGGGTTCAGCTGTACTGGGCGAGGTCACATGCCTCCTTTGCATTGTTGTCATAAGAGCTTCTTAAACTGCCCTTTTTCTGACCTGTCACCAAGAGCTTATTTACCTTAGGAAACCCTACCAGGGGAATTCAAGCCCAATAACCTAGTCTCTGGCATCATTTGAGCACTTAAACCCTTCCACTACGTTAAGATGGTGCTTCAAGGCAGGGATAAGGCTAATATAGTCCTGTTCACTAATGATGGTAGAATGTAACGGGAGGTTGATAGACGGATCAGTGCATGCAGATGCTTTACCATCCTGTTTTGGTAAAGAGGGAGCTGAGCCAGAAGGCAAAGCTTTCAATTTACCTCTGGCTCCACGTTCCTTCCCTCACCTACGGTCATGAAATCTGGATGGATGCTGGCCGGGACACTTCCCTAGAGATATGGGGTGAGCCATCCAGAAGAGGCTGTTAGTAGAGCTGTTTTCTTCTCCACATGGAGAAGAGTCAGCTGAAGTGGTACAGACATCTGTTCCACATGCCCCCTGAACGCTCCCTCAGGAGGCCTTCCAGGCATGTCTCACCCGGGGGAGGCCTAGAGCATGACCCAGGACATGTTGGAGGGACTATGTCTTCAGGGTGGCCCTTGAATCTTTAGGCCTGGCAGAGGTGTCTGGGGAGAGGAAAGTCTGGGAGTCTCTACTGAGACTGCTGCCCCTGTGAACCGGTCCCTTATAAGAGGAAGAAGACAACTATTTTCTTTCCTTCTGTATCTGCTGTCTCTTGCTCCGCTCACTCTTTTCTCTCCTGTCAGTCTAAGCTATCTTACACACCACATGGCGTTCAGCCTCTCAAGCAGCCCCCAAAAACAGAAAAGTGTCAAGTTAGCTTTAAACTGAGTAAGGCCATCAAATGAGGCAAAAACTGTTTTTAATTTCAAATATCGAGGTCATTTTTCTTTTTTGACCATTTGTAAAATAATTACTAGACATTGTTCTTTGTCCTGTTAGATCTCAGTTACATGTGTTGGACACAGTCAATCTCAATATTCACCTGGAAAGGCTATATGCTTTGTAGATCATGCCCGACAGATTTGAATTAGTTCAACTGCCTTTATTATATCAATTCTGAACTTAGTAAAATTAACAGACAGCATGAGATACATTTACACAGTTATGCTGGTAGTGGTCTGGTATATTTTTTCTATAATTCCTGATGAATCCTTCCAATATATTGATAAACTGCAAGAGTGTTTTGGGGACATAAAATCTTCCGCAACTAATTGCTTTTGAATTCAGACAAGAAGAAAATTTGTGTTTTTGACAAGAGCCTCTGCAATTTAACTGATTAAAAATCTATTTGCATGTTTGGATCTAAATTCATATATAATATTTTTTTGCATTTAAAATAAAAGTTAGTTTTTGATATTATGTGTAAAATGCACTGAGTGAAAAACCTTTTGTGAATCAGTTAAATACACATAAGCTAATTTGAAAGAGTTCCTCGATAAGAAGTAAGTGGGGGGAGGGGGATGAATCAGCTGATGAAGAAGAATCAGCAATAAGTGTTGACTAAAAGAACACAGCTGGAGTGTGTTTTGTGGACAATGACCTTGTTTTGTATGTTTCCTGCAGTGAAGACATAGCCCTGCAAGGTTGGAGGTGCTTAGAAAGCCAGACCGACTTATCATATCATAGAAATGGAAAGATACAGAATTGTGCAACAAGTGCAAATAGTCTCGTGTTACCCTTTCACTCATTTTTTAATACTCTAGAATAATTTCAATCTTCAATTTTCTGAATAAAACATTTGCACGCCTATGATGTTTCTTCTAGACCAAGAGTCTCAAACCGGTTCCAGAAAGGGCCGTGTGGCTGCAGGGTTTCTTTCCCATCAAGCAATCGCTCACCAGACTCCATTCATCTCATCAAGTCATCATGTTCAGATTGCACTCAGTTGATGAGGTGACTGAAGTCTGGTCTGCGATTGCTTGGTTGGAAGGAAAACCTGCAGCCACACGGCCCTTTCTGGGACCAGTTTGAGACCCCTGTTCTAGACATTTCACCTCAATTGGCAATTTATTCATTCTAGAGAAACTGACACCAGCTCAGTAATATTTGAGTCTATGAAGGTGATTCACATGGATGTAAAACCTGAACTGCAGGTAAACAGATCAGAACATGAATGGGAAGCTTCAGATGTTCAAGAGTCTAAAAAACAGTTCAGGCAAACTGTTCAGATGGGAACAGGCAGTCTCAAGGGCTGGTTATACTCCTGCAACAGTGTGTCGCAGTGAGCTTGTTGCAGGTATGACGCAGAATTTTTATTTATTTATACTCAATATTGAAGCGTAATCTGCGCTATTTTATTCCACGCCACAAGGCAAGAGGGGAAAATCATGAACTAGCTTTGGGTCTATATACACTCATGATGTCATTACCTTGTGTTACAGCATCTAACAGTTAGGCTAGCTGCAACAACAAACATAAATCTACAACAGTCAAAACCAGCCCTTCCTCCACTACATGGAGTTTAGCTGTTCTTTAACATATAGCTGATACAATACAAATAATGCTAACCCTCTGAGGCAGTGTTCATCAATTACAGTCCTTGAAATGCATTATGCTGCACCAGATGTGTCTCTGATTCTACACTTCAAATGACTGAATTACCCCCTTCAATGTGCAGTCGAGTCCTCATTAATGGTCCTGATTAATTGACTCGTGTGTTGGAGTAGAGACACATGTAAAACATGAAAGACACTAAAACTCAAATACCGAAAATTTAGGAAACTTTTTGAAACCCCCCCTCCTTTTTTTCCACATCATTCATTATGATCAGAAGCATACAGTTACAGTAGGTAATATACCTCCTTTTAACCCTCTAATAAAGACACTAACAGTTCTTTACAGTGTAGAATATTTTTGCATTTATTTTCCACTGTTAATAATAGATAATAAAACTAAAATATATTTCAAGTTGAAAGTTATGCATTCCTGCTAAACTGCATTCATATTTATACTACTGATAGAGATGCATCATTCCAGTTTTCCAATCTAGTCCGATAAAAATACCCGGGCAGACATTTTTTGATGCCGATCTGATGCTACTTTTAAAAGAATAAACCGCATAGCTCGACATGTGTGTAAAGGCTTTAGGCTTAAAATGAACAATGTAAAAAAAGGCAACAAATTTACACAGATATAAACATACATCATATCTTACATTAACAAAAAAGTCTACATTAACAGTAAAAAAAAGAGTAAATAAAAAACGCTTCAATTTAAAATGAACTGCAAACAGATATTTTGAAATGTAGTATAAAATATGACAGATAGCTAACACTCACTTTAGATTTATATATATCTGAATTGCTGTGAATGGAAGTAACTGAAAAAAAAAGTGCTTCCGATGGCTGCATCAGCATCATGGATCTAAGATCTAATCCAGCTAATTAGCTGTATGATTTGGAGCTGATATCCTTTCTAGGTTTTGCATAACTTGCATCTCTATTTACCTGTGCACAGTGTTGCCATGAGTAAATGAATAAAAAACACACAATTTCTGTATGGAATGAATAGTAAAAGTGCATTTACTTAATAAACTTTGCATCTGCAGATATTTATGCCCATTTTCACAAAGTCGTTTATATTTAAACATCCAGAAAAGAGTAAATTATCTCACATTTCACAACCGGTTTTATCCCCAGAAAAAAGTCACATGTTCTTTAAACACTAATTTATTGGTCTAAGACTTTTCCTCAGACCTTTACAATGATTTCTCATTTAAAAAGTTTCAAAATGATGCTATGTGGGCTAAAGTAGGGATGTGTTGCCTGAAGACAACACTATAGAGAGCTAATAAGGAAGGAACAAAGAACTATTTAGGAAGTAGTGCTGCAAGTGGCACATAAACCTCAGAAGATAAGGTTAGCTGCTCACATAAAAAGGGTGACAGTTTGAAGAAGAAGGGTTTAGAATGAAATATAAGTGTACAGGTCCAATCTACCTGAACGCAAGCAAAAACTGTCAGTTAGTCGGGCAGAATAAAGATAAAGAGAGCAGCAGCCAACAGCCTAGACCTACCTCTGCTGTTTGGACTGTAGGGTCCGTTGTGTCCCAGGTGCCATTTCCCAATGAGAGCGGTGTAATAACCAGCCTGCTGCAGGAGCTGGGGCAACGTGACTTCAGAAAGAGGGAGTCCAGCCACAGAATTTACACCGAAGTTATGAGTGACTCCATTTCTGAGGCCATAACGGCCTGTAAGGATAGCAGCACGTGATGGAGAGCAGGTAGAAGCAGGGGAATGGAAGTCTGTTAATCTGAAAAACAACATTTTTTAAACAGTTTACTATCTGAGGGGCGCTCCCAAGAGAATAACCCCATATTAATTTGATGCGCTGATTTTCAGAGGCATCCAATATATCATCAATAAGTGATTTACCTGAGCCCTTGCTGGGCCATCTGGTTAAGGTTTGGCGTATTATTTGTGTGTTTCTCTGGTTGGTTAGCATCCAGGTCGCCCCATCCTATATCATCTGCCAATATGATGATGAAGTTGGGCTTCGTTCTGAACTGTTCTTCAGCTCGTCTTTGGGAAGCTGTGAAGATCACCAACCCAAACAGCAAAGTCCCAGAGAGGAGCAGCTGATATGTTGGCTCGGCCATCATGGGTTAAAACTGTAAAACGGAACACAGGTTTGACTCTGTGCTTGGCTAATACACAACAACATTAATGGTAATAAAAATAGGCGCACATTAAAAGCCCTGTTTTTAATTTTCAATGGTTTGAAACTACCTGGAATTTTGAGTTTAGTTGGGCCTCTTCCTTTAAAGTTTTCTATTATTGTTGAAACTTTCTTTACCATAAAGCTCAAAACTATTTACATTGAATATTGTTTTCCTTTCATTCACACAGGTTCTCCGTCTCACCAAGGATTAACTGGACGTCTGTCGTACTCATGATGAGGACCACAGAGGTTTAACGACGGTGTGCACTGATTTTTACCAGAGTTTGTTTCTACAATTATTCCTATTGCACAGTTATGTTTTTATTATTAATTTATTTCATTTTATTTTATTGTACTCGCCAAAATGATTAAATAAAGCTTGCAGAATAGCTGAGTGAGTGGAAACCTTAAAAATGAACAATTATGTCGCGCTTGAGAAAAAGACCAACCGACCGCTTAATTCATAATATAATGTACTGTCTAAAACAATAACATGCTGCGTGATGATGCTGTTCCTCTCCAGTATACTTATTCAGCAACGTCCCTGACGTTTCACAGGTAATGATTCAGTAATTTTCTGTAAAATAATTTTCTGGATATATACCTCGGTTACTTCTCTCCGGCTCCTTTGGAGATCTTCAAGCCTTTCCTCCTCTGCTCTCACCCCGCTGGCTCCCCTCTCTCGCCTGGCCCTAGCTGCACGGCCTCCCTGCCTTCGCCCTCGTCCTCTCCCTCTCCCTCGCGTTGTAACCCCCGTGCCACCAAAATGACTTGGACTCTGTAAACGGGGGATATATATTCTTCCAGCGAACACAATCTCGCTGTTAAACTAATGACTACAATTACTTCGTCTGTTTATATCACCATGCAAAGCAGCTCACCAAGACGTCACAACGATGTAGAAAAAATAACGGGTATATTTATTATCTTAAGTCTACATGAAATCTATACCCTACACAGACTAATGAAATACTATCTGTAAAATTATCTATGTAAACAAACCTCATCACTTGAGAGGGTAGGTGATGTGGACGTCGTAGAAGAAATTTTGTCCCGTAACGCTCGCCGTACTGTTGGGGGGGAGAAGCGGTGGGGGGGAGATGTTCATGTTGCTGCGGTCTGTAGTCTGACCGCTAGATGTCGCTGAAAATTACACACTGTAGCTTTAAACATGCAAATTGAGTCCTTGAAAATACATATGGCAACAATGTTTAACATCTTGTAATGAGGGACACAGTAATTGAATTATTAGGTTAACAACAGTGCAGCCATATTTGTTTGAACTGGAGGAAAAGTTAAAGGTCACTTTTTGTCCCATTTATCAGGACCCATTTATCAGGACACACTGTCTTTCCTTGCCATTATAGGTATATCCTGATAAACTGGTATTCCAGATCAACTTTTTTTTCATCTGTAGTGTGCAGCCAAACAAATTTACATCTAAAATGGGAGATACTTTAAGCATTATTATTTTTTTAAATCTAACGAGATCCTGTGATTGGACTTTGATCAAAATCTTAATACCCTAAAACACTCCAATGTGGCTTCAGATAAAGAATTCTGCAGAGAGGGTCAATGTGATCCCAAAACCAAAAGATGTTGTTCAGCTATAAGATTATGAAGCTTTAAGAGAAAATACTTGATTTGTATAAATTACCTCTTTTGGTAAATTTGAAATCGGAATTTCTTCACTCAGTTTGTTATTTTAAGCTGATAATCTAAAAGAACGTAATGTACATTTGGCAGATGTCCAACTGTTCCAACATTTTTTGAAAACCTGAAAGACCTGAAAAATGTAATCAGTAGAGCGCTCCATGTTGGAAATGTGCGTCTGTGGACGGTTACTACTAAACAGGCTGCAACCAGATCTCTCTAAACCGTCACCCTCCTCTGAATGACTGTGAGCTTGTGACACACACTGCATGCCTGTACTTTGGGGTTCATGCGTGTCTGCAGACTAACCAGAGAGAACATGTGGCGCGTTTACAGTAGATCTATAGTCTACCCTGCGGAAGAAACTTACTCCTGACGAAGAAGGGATTGATTTCGGCTGAAATGAGCAACCCAAAGGTCAGAAAATAATTCTTAAAAAAAAAAAATTTAACAAACTGCCATAACTGCTTTGATTGTGTTGGATTTCTTTTTATTACATGAGTGGAAACAGCTGAGCTAACTTAAAAAGGCGACATAGAGCCAGGCTACTTAGAGTGAGCGAGCTGTCATTAAACAGCAAACAGCCACACGACAACAAGCTGCCGCTGGAACCAGGACATTGCGTCATTCGCACGAGGACGGACCGTACCTCCAGCCCGAAGTCTGCGCCCCCCTCCACCCCCACCCACTGGTCAAAATTAATCAGAAGGACAAATCAAAATCTTTACTTTTAAAATTATTAAAGACAGAAAAACGAAGAATTTAGAGTTTGAGTTAAAATCTAACAACAGAAAATAATACAAACATATCTGATCCAAACAAAAAAAGGGGAAAGAGGTTTAAAGAAATTGCACTGGAAAAAAAGTGTTAACACATCTCCTGTGTTTTTCCATCCTTTTAACTCGTTCAGCCTCTAACATCTGCTCTGATGATCCCCTCCCAAACCTTTTCTGGTAAACATGTAGAGTTCAGACATCCTTTGCATGCTACACTGATTCATTGAGTTTGTATGTGACTGACAAACTCTCTCTCTCTGTTTTGAACTGGAAAGTGATTTCTCTTTTTCCTGCATGATGGTCTGATTTCAAGTTTTTCTTTTAAATAAGTACAAATCTGGAAAGTGAGGTGTGAATTTGTTTTTGGTTAATCCTGAATCAAAACTTTGCAGTAACCCTGTTTACAGTTATTATGGTGTAAGTATTTGCAGGAGGGTTTATTTTGCGTAGCAAGTTTAGGTTCAACTGTTCAAATTGGAGGAAGATTTCCAGTTTTAATTCTTAGACTGTTACATTTCTGGCTGTGTGCTCAGAGTTGTTTTTCTGTTGGAAGTTGAACTTCAGCCTGGTCTGGAGAATAGGCCTAGAGCAAATACATATTCCTACCACAGTTCCAGATTTTTATTTTTAACGAAATTTAGATTATTTTCCTTCAACTTCACAAACATGTGAGACTTTGTGTCGGTACATCACATTAAATTCCAATAAAATGCCTTGAAGTTTGTGATGTAAAGTGACAAAATGTGGAAAACCATAAAACATTCCTTTTAGATATACTTATTTATTTATCAAATGTTGCCTGTTAACTGCACGCCTTTTGATTTGAATCTGCAACATTTGCTTTATTGTGATTTGGTTTTACAGTGTTTAATTTTGGAGCTTTTATCTGAGTCGTTTCAACATTTCTGCATTCCAGCTTTGTCAGCACTGTCTCTGTATGTGCTGTATGTGCATGTAGTAACAGCAACTAAGGGTTACCATTCATGTTTATTTGGTTTGTCAATAAAGTGTTATGCAATGACATCCCACAACACGAAGTAACTCTCTTCAATTAAACTTTTCATCCGATTTAGAAAGATCTGCAAGTCTGAATACTGATAATGATGGATCTACTGCCATGCACCATTAACATTCCAGCAGTTGTTATGAAAGCTGTCTTGTTGCGAAACTGAATAAAACCTAAGGAGGAAAATTACATAAGCTTCATATAGAATATTTGAACTATACATTCACTATAAAAACAATCTAGAAATAATTAAAAATGTCTTAAATTAAGTGTATTTACCCTTAATTTGAGCAAGTAAATAAGACGATTTGGAAATTAAATTAATATTTTTACTCTTAAAATTCGATCATTAATTAATATGAACTTGAAATAAGACAATGTAATTGTTTTATTTCATATTTTAAATGTAAATTGTCTTGTTCCATTGGGAATGTTTATCACTTATCTCAATTAAAAAAAAATTGCCTTAATGAGATGTTTAAATTTTTTGCAGTGTTTCTCTTAAGGGGAGGAGTTTAATAAACAATGCTGGGAAGTTTCTGATATAAAGATGCTTTTATTTCTATTTCTTTCCATCATCTTGATACCTTCATCATAGGAGATTTATAGCGATTATAATCCCTTTAGTGCATTTTTTTAATAGTAAACAAGTTTTCAGTAAACTCATAGGATTATGGCAGTTTAATGCAAAGTTCATTCATAAGTAATTTATATTGCAAAGCATTAGAGTCAGTCAACATGTGGAAGTAAAGCAATGGTGCTAACATCTGGATTTCACCAGCTCCCCCTCCCCTCACCTTTAAATGCATTAATAATTAATTAGTTCCAACTTTGCAAAAAGAGGCTGAACTTCAGCTACTGTTTTTTTTCTCTTGATATCTCTGGGCTCCGCTCTGGCACTGTTTGTACCTTAAACATATCTGGAAAGGATGCGCAGCAAACAGACGGAGGAACATCTGCAGCACTAAAACTGTAAAACAGGTAAAGCGCAGCTTTAATCTAACCTGTTCGTCATGAGAAGAGAAGATCAGAAGGTTTCAGAGGTTCTCTGACTCTTCTTGGCAGCTGTTCATCCACTGAGGGCTGGTTCCGCTTGTCAGATTTCGACCCCTCTGCAGAATCCAAGCCGTCCCAGCCGAGCGCCAGCAGGGATTTGGACTCTAGTCTGGACCGGGGCAGGTGGCCAAGGAGCGGCTCCACACTGCGGACGGAGCGCGGTCAAAGGTCCGGGCATGTTTGCTTGGAAGATTTTCTCAATAATACATAAAAAAATATATATTTTAAAACAGACATAAAAGCATAAACGTTATATGATATCAAAAAGACTGGACAAGAGTTCAGTTAGTTTTATCCTCTTATTTAAAAATATATAAAGACCGACAAACAAACTATAATTTGATATACTTTAATGGATAAAATTCTTTATAAATTTGTAGTTTGGTTCCTGATTTTGTGACCAGTCCATACTGTGACTGTAGGAGGCGCTGTTTCCTCCGTAGGCCTACAGTTCAAATGTGTCCCAAGTTTTGTGTTTTTAGTCACAAGAATAGTCCACAGATGGACTTATCAATAAATTACAGTTTTTAAATACCGTAATCAAATAGTTACGAAGATTTTATTGTTTAAGAATGAGAAAAAAAAATTATTAGAACATTTTTTTAAAGCATTCAAAATATGAGAAAAGTGCCTATTACTGATAATTTTATGCTTTGCTTTTAGACATTAATAAAATATTATATATAAATAAATATTCCTGTTTTTACTTTCCTGTTCTTACATTATAGGGTCCATATAATCTGTAATACTCCCTGCATTATTATAATAAAGCTATTTACGGTACATGTATAAATCAAGTGAAACACAATGGCAATAGCCGTACTGCTCCACTTAGGAAAGCTAAATCTGTTGGGCCCTGTGTAAAAAAAATTATATAATAAGTTACACTAAAAGGGCTTGTATTTTAATGAGATTTCTTCTAAATGGATTTTTGTTCTTTTAATGAAAGATTTATGAAAAATATTGTTGTTTATCTGAAGCTTAAAATGTTTGAATCGGTTCTTCATATGAATATCATAGATTCTGGTATAGATTTAAAGTAAATGCATGTCTTTGCTTGCAGATGCCTCTTAATAAGAGTAGGGTAGATGTCAGACATTCACACAGTGATATATTTAAAGTATTGATATAATCTAATGTTTAAGGAAATCCTGTTTCTTTAAACATTCGATCATATCACACCTGTTAGTCAAATCTGACTATATAGACTCTACTTTTTAAATTAGATTATCAAAATGAAAAGAACATTTTATAAAATGTTTAGCTCATTAAGTTGTAATGAATAATAAACTATCTGAACCCAAGATATTTGTGAAGAACTTCCTAATTCTTCTTCTTAATTATTAACATTTTGAGTGTATTAAAGCTTACGTTGCTCTTCCAGGACATGGCACCGTGTGGAGCTCAGATAACCCGATTCCTGGGGGCCCTGGTGTACTCAGAGGCTCCTGATGGAGGCTGGGGTTGGGTGATCTCTGTTGCCTTCTTTATAGTGGAGACTTTCACATATGGTATCATCAAAAGCTTTGGGATCTTCCTCCAGGACATGAAGGAAGAGTTTGGGGAGACCAACATTCGAGTGTCATGGATCGTCTCCATCTGTGTGTTCACCATGACCTTCAATGGTAGGTCGCAGGTTCATCGGAAAACTGAAAAACAGTACCTAGTCCAGGAAGTCCAATTTCATCACAGTCAACTAATTAAATGATTTCTATGCAATCTGCAGGTCCTCTTTCCTCGGTGATGACTAACCGATTTGGCTTCCGCTTTGTTGTAATGATTGGAGGTTTGCTTATATCCACTGGCACTATCGCAACCAGCTTCACTAGTTCCCTCAATCAAATATACATTACCTATGGATTAGTTACAGGTATTTATCCTAATTCTTTTACACTTCTAGATGTTAAATGATGAATGTGTCGTTTTTGAAGTTGTTGTGTAGGAATATCTTTTGGTTAATTATACATATGTGTGTTCAACTGTGCAGGTCTAGGCTACTGTCTGACTTTCCTGCCCACTGTGACCATCCTTGCAAAGTACTTCAGCCGCCGGCGCTCTCTGGTCACCGCTTTGGCTTCTACTGGGGAGTCCTTTGCAATGTTTGCTCTGGCACCAGGTAAGAGAGCAAGAGCTTCTGTGGATACTTGTTATACATTAACACCTGGAATGCCAAAATATTTATGCTCTTTGAAAGTCATATCATCTTGCCATTGCTAAGATCTTTGGTATATTCCATTAGGACCTATATTGTATAGTGAACCAGATGATAGGTAACCATTGGGTGAAAGAATGAGACGTGACTTTAATTGTCTGAAACTAAAAACAAAAAGTATGATTTGGATTTAGCCGACCGTGATTACAGCTTTAAGTCTGTTCATAGTCATTTTTGTTCTGAATTTCAAACGGACCATTCTAACACCGACGCAAGCTTTTAGCTAACCATATTTCATTCCAGCGTGTTTCTTTATGTTGAAAGCTGTTGTCTTTTGAATCCTATAAGTGAGTTTCTTCCAGCTTGTTTTTAAGATCCATGCATTTTTTTAATCATCTCTTACCAGCTTCAAAGCGAGAAAAAACCCCAAACCAAACGTTACCACCACTATGTTCAGGGTTTTTTTTACTGTTGGTTTTGCACCAAACACAGTATTTAGCATGTAGACTAAAATGTTTAGTTTTTTTTTTTTACTTATTTTGTTTTTCCACTAACTTTCTGCCTGCTACTTATCCATAAAGACCAGATTTTTTAAGAGTATATCCACTAGTTACCCAGGCTGCCAATCTCTGCAGCTCCTCCAAAGTAATAGTTTTGACTGCTTCTCTGATGAATTCGCTCCTGCCTGAACCATCAGTCCAGTTGGACAGTAGTATTTTTTCTCTGATGTTTTTCTTTGTTTTCATGATGTTGATCATTTATGCTCTCTACTAAACTCTTTAAGGCTGGGGTTGATTTAATTTACACTCAGATGGAGAACAACCAAATAGATGCCTTCTGGAAGCATTTGGTTTTCCTATATTTTAACATTACGTAAATGAGCTGATTATAAATGCATCGATTGCCTAAAGTATCGTAAAAAACATCCTTTTCGTTCCACTTTCCAATTATGAGCCCTGGATGTTGGTCTGTAATATGGTGCTCTAATAAAATATACTGAAGTTTTTGGGTGTTTTTCCACTTAATGTGGAAAATCTATTTACCCCCTGTGTGTTTTTTTTTGTAAACTGACAAATCATCCTTTTCACTTCCCTTAACTGCATTTTCTTTGCTTTTTAGCTTTTTCTGCATTAAGAGACAAAATTGGCTGGCGACACACCATGGCAGTGATTGGAGCTCTGCAAAGCATCATCATCATCTGTGGTGCTCTGCTTCGGCCAATCATTATTACACCCAGAGCCACCCAAAATACGGAAAATGAACATTTTTCTCCAAAGGAGCTGGAAGCACTCAAGACTCAAGAGAATATAGACAACTTGGTTCTGCAGAATTCTGAGGTAGAGAATAATGAGTTAACTGGAGGATCTGTGAGCACCGGCAGTGACTCAGGGGTCCAGTCACTTAAATACTCCTCACCAGAGGAGAACATCTTACTGCACAAAGACGCAAAGTTTGAGACAGGTCTGAACTCTTTAGAAAAAAGTAAAGATTCAGAAAAACAAGACAAAGATGCAGAGAAATCAGCGAACAAAGAAGAAGAAACTAAACCAGGAGATATGAAACTTTCTGCAGCTACTTCTAAGCTCTTAGACTTTTCCATCCTCAGAGAGCGCAGCTTTATCCTCTATTCACTGTTTGGACTGTTTGCCACTCTGGGCTTTTTCGCCCCCTCACTGTACGTCATTGAGCTGAGTGTGAGCCGCGGCATGGAGCGGGAGAAAGCTGCCTACATGCTCTCCACCATGGCTGTGGCTGAGATCCTGGGCCGATTCTCCATCGGATGGGTCCTGTCTTTGGTGGTGTTCAGGACAAGGAAGCTCCTGGTGCTCCTGGTTTGCGTGATCATGATGACTGTGGATTTGGTGGGATTTACTTTGGTGACAGAGTTTTATGGTCTGGCTGTGTGTTCTGGTGTGTATGGATTTTTCATGGGAACCCTGGCATGTACCCACATCCCCATGCTGGCAGAGGATGAGGTAGTGGGTGCGGAGAGGATGTCTTCTGCTGCTGGCGTCTATGTGTTTATCCAGAGCTTTGCTGGACTAGGTGGACCACCACTTGGAGGTAGGAAATATCTATTTTATAGGAAAGTGCTATAGTTTTTATATCATTGATGCTGTTTATTCAGGCTTAGAGAAACAGATTATGCATTGGTAGAAATCTACAAACTAACTACTGCAACGTTTCTATTATCAAATTGTGGTTAACTTTACTAAAACAAAGCCCAGCCTAATGAGTTTCTAATGGTTAAGAGAGTTTCCAGTTTTCCCAAATTAATATAATGTTTTGTTTAGACTAAACTTTTCAAGTGCTTTTGTAACAGCAACCATATTTCTTGTCTTTTGTCTATCAAAATCTCTAAAGTTAGGTATTGAATTCACAAGAGTTAAAGCTCTGCTTTCACACTCCTTCCATCTGTTCATCCTACTGTACTTATCTAAAACCCGAGTTATGCATTCCAGGAGTTTAAAACATTCCTATTTCTAGAGATACTCTCCAATTTCTTCTAAAGAATCTACACAGGTGTTCTAGGGCTAGAAGGGATGTTACACCATTTCAGCAACATCACAGCCTCTGCTGTGGGTTGTCCTCCTGGTGGGATGGGCTCTAAACATTCAAGGAGAGGAGATCAACCACCTTTACTGGTTCAACTTCTATTCCAAGCCTTTCTATGCATGGCAGAGCTTTTGCTTTGCAGACAAAAGTCATTCAGAGCTACACCTGAGCTCACAGCAAACTACAGGTGCTGGTCATAAAATTAGAATATCATGAAAAAGTAGATTGATTTCAGTAATTCCATTTAAAAAGTGAAACTTGTATATTATATTCATACATTACATACAAACTCATATATTTCAGATGTTTATTTTGTTTAATTTTGATGATTACAAATGACAACAAATGAAAATCTCAAATTCATCATATCAGAAAATTAGAATATTGTGAAAAGGTTCAAAATTGATGGCCCCTGGTGCCACACTCTAATCAGCTAATTAACTCAAACCACCTGCAAAAGCCTTTAAATGGTCTTTCAGTCTAGTTCTATAGGCTACACAATCATGGGGAAGACTGCTGACTTGACAGTTGTCCAAAAGACGACCATCGACACCTTGCACAAGGAGGGCAAGACACAAAAGGTCATCGCTAAAGAGGCTGGCTGTTCACAGAGCTCAGTGTCCAAGCACATTAATAGAGAGGCGAAGGGAAGGAAAAGATGTGGTCGAAAAAAGTGTACAAGCAAGAGAGATAACCGCACCCTGGAGAGGATTGTGAAACAAAACCCATTCAAAAATGTGGGGGATATTCACAAAGAGTGGACTGCAGCTGGAGTGAGTGCTTCAAGAACCACCACACACAGACGTATGAAAGACATGGGTTTCTGCTGTCGCATTCCTTGTGTCAAGCCACTCTTGAACCACAGACAGCGTCAGAAGCGTCTTGCCTGGGCTAAAGAGAAACAGGACTGGACTGCTGGTGAGTGGTCCAAAGTCATGTTCTCTGATGAAAGTAAATTTTGCATTTCCTTTGGAAATCAAGGTCCCAGAGTCTGGAGGAAAAGAAGAGAGGCACTTCATCCACGTTGCTTGAAGTCCAGTGTAAAGTTTCCACAGTCAGTGATGGTTTGGGGTGCCATGTCATCTGCTGGTGTTTGTCCATTGTGTTTTCTGAGGTCCAGGGTCAACGCAGCCACATACCAGGAAGTTGTAGAGCACTTCATGCTTCCTGCAGCTGACCAACTTTTTGGAGATGCAGATTTCATTTTCCAACAGGACTTGGCACCTGCACACAGTGCCAAAGCTACCAGTACCTGGTTGAAGGACCATGGTATCCCTGTTCTTAATTGGCCAGCAAACTCTCCTGACCTTAACCCCATAGAAAATCTATGGGGTATTGTGAAGAAGAAGATGCAATACACCAGACCCAACAATTCAGAAGAGCTAAAAGCCACTATTAGAGCAACCTGGGCTATCATAACACCTGAGCAGTGCCACAGACTGATCGACTCCATGCCACGCCGCATTGCTGCAGTAATACAGGCCAAAGGAGGCCCAACTAAATACTGAGTGCTGTACATGCTTATACTTTTCATGTTCATACTTTTCAGTTGGCCAACATTTCTATAAATCCTTTGTTTTTATTGGTCTTCAGTAATATTCTAATTTTCTGATATGATGAATTTGAGATTTTCATTTGTTGTCATTTGTAATCATCAAAATTAAACAAAATAAACATCTGAAATATATGAGTTTGTATGTAATGTATGAATATAATATACAAGTTTCACTTTTTAAATGGAATTACTGAAATCAATCTACTTTTTCATGATATTCTAATTTTATGACCAGCACCTGTATAACTACATGTAGAAAAAATATCAAATAGTGTGCATTTGGCTTTAGGTAGATGTCAAAATAAGTTCACATTTTTACTTTTACTATTGCACCAAAATATATATAGTATTTAGGTACGAGGAATGTAGCAAATTTGCAACATTAGGTCTAAAAGTTTTGGATTTTTGTTCTCATGCCATCAGCAAATGTGCCTGCAGGGACCAATCCTACGAGAAAACTCGTTTCTAGGTAAGCAGTGAATGTGTAAAATATGGCATTGGGAGAATGCACACACCAGCTAGGCTGTTTCAGTGATACAAATGGTTTGTATTTTGGCTACAGTAGGTGTAAAGAGGTTAAAGATACCAAGAGAAGCACATCGTTTCCCAAAGGAAAGGTGAAACACAAAGATTCCTGTCCTCTTCTGCTCAACTAAATTTTAAGTTCTTCACAATGAACCCCATATTTGTTTGGCTTTGTTTTTTTACGCGGAATAGTCATTTCAGCACATTTCACACATATCTTAGGTTAGCAGATGAGACTGCACCTACTTGAAAAACAACAATAAGAAATCAGTCTTCAAATGCAAATACTTTTTGCACTGAAGCATGCCTAAATGTAGAGGAGACTTGAGTAAGACCCCAACCTGACGTAGAGGCAGTGGCGGTGATGTCTTCTGCAGAATTGGCGGGGTGTAATTATTTAGATAGTTTGTAGGCTCTAGCTTTTTCACTATATGAAGAGTATGGTAGTGGAACAAACAGATCAAAGACAGCAGAGTTTGGAGCAAGTGGGACAGAATAAGTACTAATAGAGGTGAAAGTTTGGAAAGGGAAAGGAATCATGGAAGTGCTAAAAAACTGGATTAACAAGTTTCTCAAAAACTTCAAAAATACTTCAGGCTCATGAATTTCATTTTTGCTGCTCCAACAACACTCGGATACTTAGAAAAAGCACAAGTTTAGAAATTGTGTGGACATATCCGGGTGGTCTTTTCTTAATTTCCTCTAAGCATGAACAAAAGCATTTTGTCAAGCATGACACAGCCTTTGATTCCATCACTCGCTAGATTTATAGGTCACTAAAATTGTTCCATTTGGTCTGTTTTATTTCACTACAGGTGGGCTGGTGGACGTCACCCAGAACTATGGAGCGGCCTTCTACTCCTGCGCAGTGGGCATGGGACTGGGTGCTGTGTTCCTGGGATTGGTTGGACCTGCTAAAAGAGGATTACCCTGCAGAAAGACAGGCCTAAAACACTCTGCAATTGAACATGAAATAAACCCTGGCTACAAGGAAGAGCGTGGAGAGCAGAAAGCAAACAAAATAAGTCACAGTGCATTCGGCTGCACAGAGGACAAAAAGCAGATGAGTCAGGGAGAAGACACTAGAGAAGGGGATGAGGTTACAGCTTGTTATTGAGCTAAAAAACACACAAATCAGAGAACAGATCAATAAATAGAGCTATAGAGTCAAAGGTCGTGGATGCAGTTACTTATGTGACGGGCTCTCACTAAACTATTATTATCAATGGATGGAGTTGTGCCTTAAATTTAATGAACCGACCAGTATTTTTTACAAGTTCTTATGCCAAATAGGAAAATTAATGTTTTTGTTTTTTTATCTAAGTTGTGTGGTAGAGTGAATGAACAGTTACATGAGATTTCATGCAAGGTCGTGTAGTAAAAAAGCCAGGGTTGCCGGAGAAGTTGCTGTAGTGTCTGATAACAATAAGAGGTCTAACACTGAGGCCGTTTACATCACCTGTTGATCAGTCTTATTAACGCTGGAAAATACTGCAAATGCTGCAAACAAAACCTGCTGCACAAATTTTGTTTCACTTAATAGAGAAAATAAATGAAAACCTCAGGAGAATGTGTAAAAAAAAAGCCATTTTCAACCAAAAAGTCAAACAATGGTGTTTAATCAGAAGTTAGTAAATGACTGTGATTTGTAACAGAAATAAGTTTCTACATAATAAAGCTGTGAAATGATCCTTGATTAGTTCTTAATTATGTGTGTTTTGGTTTTATGAAGCAGTGGCTCACACATTTATTACATCATCTACGGAAGAGTCTGCGTTGTCATGGAAACCCACCCATCCATGTCAGATGACCTGTTAATGTTAGACCAAGAAAAAAAACACATCAGATTAATATTAATATTTCAGTCTACAATTGAAATGAAATATAGGCTTTCAGGTTTTGAAAGGAATTGATATATATTACATTGCATTAAAAAATCTTTAACAGGATAAAGGCATCAATAACTGGTGAACCTTTAGTGAATATCTAGTGAATTATTTTTCATCTTCTGTAATTTCTGTAGAATTCAAGATTTTACCAAAGTTTTCTTGAGGTACTTTTTGTTTTTGCTCCAGTTTCCCTTTATTTATTGGGTTCCTCACTTCCTCGCTTATCAGTTGTCTGTTTGTTTTTTAAATCAATGCTGTCCACAGGCTTTTTTACTTTTATTTAATGCATCTGCTGTTACTAGAACTCATAGACTAAAGTCCATCATTTGCAATACAAGAAAAAAATGATAATTTACTGAATAATTTCTTATAACAAGCAGCATTTCTGACTTGTTTTTTTTTTCATAGTGTCTGCTCCAAATGAAGAACAACAAGATTCCACTGCATATGTTGGTTTACGCATTTTAAAAGATCATAGTTACAACATTTTAATCAAACTATACATGTTTCAAAAATAATACATAACATGTAGAGTGGTTCAAAATAAAAGTGCCTTATTTTACAGATAAAACAGAGTATGCATTTTTAATGGACATTAAATGTATAATTATTTACTTCTGGTTGCGATGCCATTAAATAATTCTGCACCAGTAGGAAGAGTAGGATGCCAGATCCTAGTAGCTTCATGTTGAAATGAAAACAATTTCTCAGATTTAAGCCAAAAACGAAAAAGAGGCAAAACTGTGAGATAATTGGTCAATCTTTTCTGAGTTGGTGTTTATTTAGGAAACAAAGGCCTCAGAACGCACGAGGATGCCACTCTAGTTCTGAACTGGCATGTGAAATGTTTGGCTTGCTTAGCTTGAGCAACAGTGAACCTCGCAACTGGCTTCCAAAAAGTAGAGAACGATAGTGGGCGAGTGCGCCCCTTATTGGCTGGGAGGACTTCAACTTGTAGCTATACACTTTGCCTTCCTTTCAAATAAGGATTCGGATTTGTTTGAAGAGACAAAGCACAAAAAAATCACTGTGGTGTAGTTAAAACTTCCTGAGTATAATGTGGGCTTGAAATGAGGAGATTGGCAGAATCAGTTGCATGATCTTATATGATACTGTAGGCTTTTCCTGTGTCAGTGATAAAGTGATGGGGTTACTGGAGCAACAGAACAATAATTCTGGTCCGAACTGGAGTAATAGTAAAATGTATCTGAGTGGTTTTGTAACACTGTTATTTGAAATCATATGCAGCTAAGTACAGGTTATAACTAAGCCTATAAATCCCTCTATATGGTGCCAATTTATACATTTATCTCGCTGATGTTTTCAGATAAATTTTCATTTGACCGTTGAAATATAATTAACGGCAGAGTTTGGTCTTCCAAACATAATTCTTCTGCTTCTCGTTTTCCCTTTCTGGATTTTTCACTGATAAAAAAAATAAATCTGGACAGGTGCTCTGAATATGAGCATCATGTTGTTTGTTTCTAGGAACAGTAATTCAATGTAACTTTTTTGTTCAGTGTGTTCAAACACTTGCAAAGCCACAACCCTGGTTTATGAACGTCTTCAGCAGTTATTTTTTAAAAAGGTAGAGCAGCCTTATGACCAAATTCTTTCCCTGGTTTTGAGAGCCAACACGCAGTCGTATCCAGCTTAGTAAGCCTAATAAATAAAACAATAAATCAATAAAGGACCAAATGTTAAATAGTATTATGCAGAATACTCTATAGCTTTATCAGTAACTTATTTCCACCTTCTCAGTCATTCTTGTCCAGTGTTCTTTCAAGCTTTGGGAAACTCCAGTCGGCCTCGGCAGATGGCCGCTCACACTGAGCCTGGTTCTGCTGGAGGTTTCTTCCTGTGAAAAGGTAGTTTTCCTCTCCACTGTCGCTACAAGCATGTTTGGTGTGAGGGATTGCTTTCAAGTAAATGAATCAATGCAATCAGCTGGTTTTCCTAAGATATAAACTTTGAACCTATCCGGCTGGATGATCTGGTTGAATAGTCTTTGTAAAGTGCCTTCAGATGACATGTGTTGTGAATTGGCAGAACAGATATAAACTAAATTCAATATTCAAACATTTTTGAGTTTCATTTACATGATTTTTTTATTTGTTTATCAGGGACAGACATATTGAGAACTTGGTTTTCAGTTTTGGAAATGTAAAACAGTACAAAATGTAGAACCTTATAACAGCTAAGGAAAATGTTTGGAATAAGCTTAAGAAAGAAACAATATAAAAAATGATTTAGGTTGATCTGCTGTCGTTGACCAAAGGAAGAAAAAAAGAGCTGTAAGCATTTTGTCAGTGAGGTCCAAAAGGCTGACAACACATTGGTTTATGGAAATAAGTTATGGATCAGTTGTTTTCTGGTTGCAATTTAACCAGAGCAAATTAGGCCTAATAATACTGTATTTTAATCCAAGCAATATCAGAGCATAAAATTGCTTATTTTCAGTTTTCCAAAAGTATTGAAGGAGCCACAGGAAACGTAGAGGAAGAGGCACATCATCCTGAACATTCGCATAGGGAAACAGATTGAGTTAAACACAATAGAGTTTAAAGAAACATGTCATATCCAACAAAACTGTTCTGTAGCTGCTAATGGAGTTTTTGGTTAAAGTTTTAATGAATGACTAGAGAAAAAATAACCAACAAATGAACAACAAATTGTTGATCACATTCTTGACACAAAAGTGTTTAGATAAAAAAAAGCAAAAACTAAAGTGAAGAAACAATAAAAATGTACCTGCTAAATTGAAATAAACATTATTGGGTTTGGTAAAGAAAAATCCAGCAAATGTTGAGAAAAATTTTCTAGTACCTACCAGCTCAGCAGAAAATTCAGTCTGCCATGTGAACTCAGGCATGTCAAGGAGCAGAAAACCGACCCAGTCCAGTATAGAGATGACACTCCAAAAGAGTTTTTGACCTATGACTCTTAAAAGTGTCTAGTCACTGGCACTAATCATCATTACAGCAGGAGTTTAATCTGTTTGTGCACAGTGAGAACTTTATCTCACAGCCTGAGAGAGCTAATTAACTCATTTAAAAAATAGGAAAAATGCATTTTAGCCTGTAACCTGTCTGTAGTTTATATCCAAATAAAAAAACAGGTGTTTGAAAGAAGAGCAGGCAGATCCATGGATCTACAAACCCTCCTTCTGCATCCACTGGCAATGCTTTGATCGTTTGGTTTTGGGAATTGCGGCCTAGTGGTTGGGTCATAGAGCTTGGAATCCTGAGGTTCTGAGTTTTAGCCCCACTGCCACAGACTGCCACTGAGGGTCTCTGAGCAAGACCCTTAACCTCACACTGCTGCCCGGGCACCGCATGGTGGCAGCCCCTACTTCCCAAGGGAATGGGTTAAATGCAGAGTTTAATTTCTCCAATATGAGATCAATAAGGTTATTATTATTATCAAACATATGGCTGATTTCAAAGGTATTCTGGTCTAAAACAAAAATAATGTTAAAAGATTTGGACACAGAATTTTGTTATCTTACCTTTAACTGAAACACATAGCAGTTGTGTTTATATAACAGGCAGGATATAGAGACTCAGTGTTTATTCCTTAATCCACACTAAATCCTGATGCTGGTTTAGGAGTTTCAGCTCAGTACTGTGAGCCACCCTCTTTGTAACGGGACCAGTGTTATGGTCCCCTTTTGGGACTCATGCTTTTTAGTTTTCAGTTGTTCTGTTTTATTGATCTTCGGTTTATTTTCTATTATATTTAAGCAATCTTCAGTTACTCTCTGTTTTCCCCTTGTGCTGGTTTCCTTTCCCCTTGGCTTTATTCTAGTTAGTTCCCCTCACACCTGCTCCATATTCAGCTCATTAGCCCATCCTTTGTTCTGTTCCCCTTATATACACCACCTCTGGAGCCATTCAGTGCTGGTTCCTTGTTGTTTTGTTGTTCCCTCCTCTCTGGCTTCCCTTGTGAATTTTCCCTAAAGCTTCCTGGTTTTTTGGTTATTAGTATTTTGGATTTTTGACTGTCTGCCTTTGTTCTTCATTGAATCTTCAAGATTCACCTCTGCCTCCTGGTCTCTGGATTTGGGTCCTCAGAAATCTCCACCCAACCATGACAACCGGAAGTCATATTTCATGCTGGATGTTCCTTTGTTATGTCTTTATCAGTTAGGGGGGTAAGAAAGCTGAATTGATAAGAAGGATAGTGTTTGCATTCAATTCAATTCAGTTTTATTTCTATAGTGCCAATTCACATCATGTCATCTCAAGGCACTTTACAGTTTAACCAGATCATCCAGTCAGATTGATACAAAGTTTTCTATCTAAGGAAAACCAGTTGATTGCATTGACTCATTGACTCTTCAGCAATCCCTCACACTAAGCATGCTTTTAGTGTCAGTGGAGAGGGAAAATTCCCTTTTAACAGGAAGAAACCTCCAGCAGAACCAGGCTCAGTGTTAGCAGCCATCTGCTGAGGCCGACTGGGGTTCAAGGAGACCGAAGCAAAGATACAAAAAGCAACTGCAAAAGGCGGCCCCGTCCACAAAGCACACAGCCAGCCATTCAGAACACTTTGCTGAGAACAGACAGCATGCATTCAAAGTAGCTTTTCACACGAGTGAAACCAGCCATTCTTAAGCAGGGGAACAAGCACAGAAAATTGCTGCAATGTTGGGATTGCCAAGATTTGCAGTTTGGTT